TTCAAGATCTCCTGGGGGACTAATGGTTCCATCTTTGGCTTGGCCTGTAACATGTTCAATATCTTCCATGCTAGAAAAGGTTCTTTTGTTGTTTTGTTTTGTTTTTAGCTCTTAACTGCCTTAAGCCACTGCTTCATCATGTGATGCTCTCAAAAAAAAAAAAGGAGGGGTGATTTACTAAACTCACCTTCCTGCAGTTAACTTACATCTCAATTCTCTCTGCCCTGGTTTGATTGAAACTCCTCAGTATCATTAGTTTCCTCTCTGAGTGAACGTCTGTACTCTGCACCATGCAATGGCTACTCCCTCCTCTCCTGGCACCATTGCCTCAGTTTCCTTTGGAACCAAACTTTCCTTTACTCTCAGGCTGTGCGCTTTGGTTGGGCTGACCCTGTCCTTAGCATCAAGGGTAGGCCTATAACCTACACACAAGCAACTCAACCCAAGCCAGGATGACAGGGTTTGTGACCATCATGGGTCCCCAGGAGACCCAGCCAGAACTAACACTGGAGGTGAAGCTGGAGTAAACTTGAAAGAGAAAGCTCTTTATTTTTTTATGGAGTTGGACTTGAATGGATGTAGGCTGGGACCGCTGCAGCTATATTGTCACAAAGAGGTGAAGCCTTTCAAACTAGAGCCAAAACAGGAAGCAAAGCCAAGAAATGAAAAAAGAGAAACTATGTCTGATGGTTGACAGTGCTCCTAAACCCAACCAAATTTAATAATAAAATCAACCTTGACCTTTAAAGTTGTGTCAGTCAATAAAGTCCCTTTTGCTTTAAACAGTTAGGGTTCAGTGGTTGTAATTTGCAACAAAAAGGGCAGTAATTTATAAATCATCAACAAAAATCAGTAGCTAGTAATTGAGAGAACTTATTATTATATTTTTCAAATACACAATCTTCCTGTCTGTTTCCCCATATTTTCCTGATTCTTTCTTTAATCCCCTCTGATTCCTTTTCATGTGTAGCAAAAAATTGTAGAATTGCAGGGTTAGAACGGATAAGGAGTAAAGAAACTAATATGTATTGAGATCCTTAAGGAAAGCACATTTTATATGCATAAATAGTTTTTGAATGATACATATATTTTTTGCAAGTATTGCACTGTTGACTAAAATGCTGTAAAGAGATGTTATATAAAGATAAAACATTGTAATTTTAGACAGCAAGCTATCATTTCCATCCTGAATGTAAAGAATTGAATATTAATGAGGCATAGAATAAAGGTTTTCACAGTAATAATGTCTTTGAATGTAATCTGAAAAAACTGGGAGAACTGTGTTATTGCATTTTTATACTAGCACACTTTCTGAAAAGCAATTAAATTGCCTTGCCACTGCAGTTTTTAGAAAGCAAAAGGTTAGAAAATACAATAAAACTGAACATTATTTCCAAAAAAGAACTGAAAGTCATTGGACTGGGAGATATTTGAAATCATATCAAAAAGCAGAATTTATGGCCCTATGAGTTATGGAAAAGGAAATTGAATTGTGTGTTTTATTTTTAAAACACAAGCACTAAAAAGGTGTTTCCATAGTAACAAGGTCAATACCAGTAGCCATTCGGCACCTTCCTCTTTTCTGATAGTGGGTTTAAAGATCTTTTTCAAATACCACTTTAAAAGTGCTGTGAAAAAGTACAGCTTTTCTGATCGTTCATCTGAATCAAAAATGAGGACAAACACACACAGAGTATTGAATTTCTCATGTTTTATGGATTATAAGCACTTGTGGCTGTCATATTTTCAGAAAGAAGCCTGCCTGCCCAACTACGATGCCAACCCCTGAACATGGGATTTGATTAGCCTGATCGTAAGTCTGGACAAACAGAAGTTGTTTGCAGTCTTACTCAAACAAAATTAAAGGCAGCACAGTATTAAAAGACACACTTCTTTAACATCTAAATATTGAAAGAGTTAAGTAAATAATCCCTGTTATTAGAAAAACTGCAAAGACTCAGATAAAATATGATTTTAGAGAAATCTAAAGCCACTAGGGGAAGGCTAGAAAGATACAGGCCACATTTTGTTTATAACAGAAATAAATAGCTCTTTGGCCATAAAATCAATTCATTTAGTGCCACCAGGAAGTGGTCCCTCCTTCCTCTTTCCTTTCTATCAAGAGACACTGCTTCCATGGCAGTCATTTCTATTGCCTTTTCTTCCCCATTAAACCATGAGCCTGAGAGCCGAGATATTTTTCTCTTTGAATTCACAATAGTATCTCACATACATTTTGTATATAAAAGATACTAAGAAAGGTAAGTGGAGAATGAATCATGAAAAATAATGATACAACAGTAACCAAAATAACACAAAATCTCTGCTCTATTTTTAGAATGACCTGTCAGTTAAAATGTGTACCCACGATTTTAATCTGTTTAAAACAAAGAGATTCTGGATCTTCGTTCATATAGTCACAACTGCCAAATAATGAATCAGTTGTCTGGCTCCTATACCAATTCCTTCAGAATCTCTGCAGGTGGGGCATCGGCGTCAGCTTTTCTTAAAGCTACCCAGTTAACTCTAATGTGAAGCCAGAGTTGAAAATCATTGCTTTAAATTGTTCTCCTGGGGCTTAATTAATGATCAATTTATTTACCGCCAACTTTAAGGACTTATTTTTTTTTCCTCAATATTGTCTCCTGGTACTATATTTACCAAATCCACAAGGCCTTTTATTAAAATCAAGTGATTTAATCTCTAAAAGCACTTTTTATAATAAAATATTCAATTAAAATAGTTGTCTTATATTATTAAAATATTTAACCAAGAGTTATTTACTGTATTCTGTTCAATATACTTACTAGCTTTATGTTTGCTGTGAATTCAGCTTTTTAAAATTAGAACTGAATATAGTATCAAGATAATAGATAACAAATTAATGTTAGTAGAAGTTAACAATTGCTTTTGTGCTTTTATGCTTACCTTCCCCAGGCCTATCATGCCTTTTACACCCTTATCTATCTGGAAAAATTCAGACTCATCTTTCAAAACATCCAGATCATGTCTCTCTTCCTCCAGGAAGCCCTCCCTGATTCAGACATTAAGCACTCCGTGATTTGGCACTGCCACTGCCACTTGTTTATGCTTCTGTTTTGCACTCCTCATACTGTACTGTCACTTTCTTTTTCTCTTTTTTGTTTTTAAATAAGTCCCATCTCCATACTTGACTGTGAACAGCTTGCATAGGTGCTGATTTCCGTCTCTGCGCTTTCCCTCCCAGGGCCCAGCAATAGGAACTGGGCATTGCTTACAAATAATAGGCATTCAATAAGTGTTCAGTAAATGAAAGGATAATGGCCACAGTGGAAAGAGCCAAGTGCATTTCCAGAACACTATTGCCATGGACTGAATTGTGTCCCTCCACAAAATTCGTATGTTGAATCCCTAACCCCCAGTGTGATGGTATCTGGAGATGGGGACTTAGGGAGATAATTAGGTTTAGAGGCGGTCATGAGGGCAGGTCATTCTTGATGGGATTAGTGCCCTTGTTAGGAGAGACACTAGAGAGCTTGCTGTCTTTCCCTGCCTAGAGGACACAGCAGGAGGGCAGCTTTCTGAAAGCCAGCAACATATCTCTCACCAGAACCCAACCATGCTGGTATCTGCAGAAGGAGATAAAAATAAAATTCCTGTTGTTTAAGCCACCCAGTCTATAGCATTTTATTCCAGCAGCCCAAGCTGACTAATACAATTATGAGCTGGGATTATCTGAAGAGAACATTAATATAAACATAGAGATATGTATGCTTTTTCCTTTCACCTAAATTATTTAAGAAATAGGAGTTTTATCAAAGTAAAGGCTGTATCAAATACAGAGAGACTAGCTTCTTCATACTTCCTTACAAATAAATTTGAGGCACTATTTTTGCTATTTTCCCGAGAGACTAAAAGCCTGACATAAACATCTGCCGTTGAAAATGAAGTGATTTGGCGGGACGGCAATTAATCAACAGAAAAAAAAGAAGTCACTCTGGGGAATGCATTATCAATGACAGCTATTTATCAGGTTTCCTTTTTATCCCTCACAGATAACATTCATCAAACACCCTGTGTATTCCTTGAATTGTGCTAGACATATCTTAATTTTATTTTATCTTATTTACGATGGAGAAAATGTCTAAGGTCTCATGGGAATTCCATAATGTATTATTTATGTATTTGTTTATTCAACAAATATTTATTGTGTATTGTGGGAATCCAATTTTGTGTTTAAAGCCGATTTAAGCTAGTTCCTTTCCAGCCTTCTCTTGGAACCAAAGATATAAACTACCCAGTCCTTCTCTGGCGAAACTGTTCTGCAATCAAAGCACCAACAATCGTGTAGCTCCGACCAGCAATACTCATAGTCTGAATGATGCATAAGTAACATTTTTAAAATTTGAGGAACCAATACCAGGTTGCCAACTTTTTTATTTGGCCAAATAATGACATTAAAAACAAACAAAAATACCACTACAGCTATCACCGTCATTTACCAATGATGCAGCATTTTAACACAAAGTAATCATATAATCTTAGCAGAGAAGAAAGGGTGGTTTCAAAGTGACTATACTTCATTTCATGGAGAAAAACATCCACTATCTTCATTTATTCTCTTCATTTCAGCCTAGACTGGTGAACCTTTGTTAAGAACAAATCAATGTCTAGTGTAGACATAGAAATTTCTGCCAATTATGACTTTTCGTCTTGAGAGCTCTATTTTGTTCCTGTTTTTCACTATTCCAAATTCCTTCCTTATTCTAATTCTTAGGGCTGGACAGTATAATATTAGTAAGTAAACTCAGTTTAATCTCATCGCTACACAGGGTCCAACTGGAAAGAAAGTGCATATCTGCTTAGATAGAATTCTTTTCCCTCATTTTGTCAAAAACTGAAGATAAATGATGCTTCTGGTACCATGACTACCTTATACTTCAGCATGTATAATATGTCATGTAAAGTATCTATGTGAAGGCTATAAAATGAAGACCAACCAATACAATAACAAAGCTTACATGTATGGACCCAAGGAAACGACTCTTGCCATTACAATTCCAAGAATCACAGTTGTTAAGACTGTAGAAATAAGAGAGATCTACAAAAGAAAAAGTAAAGATATTGTCAATTTAGAACAGAGATTATTTTTTGCAAATATTAGGTGTTTCTCTTTTTATTTGAGGGAACTTCTGCACAGTTTTTAAACGTGATCTCTTACTACTTCATTCTTATCGATTGGTGTTGATCAAATGAAGCATGAAACTTTTCACCCAACCATCGTTTTAGCTTCCCCCCTTTCCCCACAGGAGAACATGTGTCATGCATGACTATTGTAATCTTGCAACATGGCTTTAAGTATTTCTAGTGTCTTCCTGTGTAGAAGACAGAGCTGGTGATTTCAGTTCATGAAAGTAAAAGTGATGGTATGTTTTCTTCTCTGTTTTCAAATACCATAGTGCTGACTGGTGTTGACTTAGTGTTGACTGGTGCTTTTTTCTTCTATCTATAATTGCTTCTTCTGCTTCTATATCTTTTCGTCTCCCTTCCAATGCAACACTGGCACACCCGCCCACTCACACACATTTTTGGGGCACCTCTGCCTTTTCCTTTCTGCTGTCTAGCTCCATTAGTTCATTTTTTTCCTATGTGGTTTTGCCCTTTGGTCTGGACTTCTCATCTTCTTTGCACCTTCCTTTCTCTTCTGTCACTATTTCAACTGGTTAAAATATAAACCAGTCTGTGAGTGTAATGGGTTCTGGGCACTCATTACATTAGAGCTGTGCTGCTGCTCTTAATTTTGTAACAGATAAGCACAATTTAGACATTTTTCTCTGATTCTAGAAATACATAAATATATATAAACAACATATATACATATAAATGGAATATATATCAAGTTGCTTTTGTTTTCTTTTGCTTGTCATTAACATTGTTTTCTGGATTGTTAGTTCTTAACTAGAAAGAAGGTTCTACTATGAGTCCTCTAATCAACTGAGGAACAGAGGTATTAAGTAAAATTCCCAAGGTCATACAGCTAGAAAGTGGCGGGGGAGGGGCGGAACTCAAATACAAGCAGCCTGACTCCACCTCAAGGCCCCCTGATACCTCTGCTTTGCTCACTGAAAAACTATTCAGGTATTTCCATATGACACTTTTAAAGGACATTTAGGGAAAAAATGTTCAGGTATTAATAATATAACAGAATGTTTGCTTTCTTTTCATTAATGTTTTGCGTTCTGCTCTCTGAAGGTAACATTTATGTCTGCTCTGAACATGTAAAATGAGAAATAGTTCGGCCATTTCAGATAATTCACATACACACACCCATAAAACCCTTTTGAGACACTCTTGTTTCTTTCTGGATGCCTGTGAGAGAAGGACGGCAGAGTGGTCAGGAGTATCATCTCCATTCTCAGCTCTAGCTGGACAGAGGGGCTTAAGAACAGGATACACCCCAAACACCACACGGAGGGACAAAATTCAATCAACTGTTGGATTTTCAAATTAAAAGTATATGAACAGCTCTTTAAAAAAATTTTTTTTCAGAATGCTCTGCATAATGTAGATACAATACCAGTAATGTTTTGGGTAAAATACAAACATTCCTTGAGAGGGAGTAACTAAAATAGAGGCAGAGGTTAATCTATGCTGATGAGCATATATGATGAGCTGAGTGATTATTTGGGTGGTTTTGTGAAGAATAAACCATCATTTCACTTCAGCAATATGAGTCATAAATATTGGCCCAAGTTTCAACAATTAATCAATCAATACATTGGCATTTAAATTCACTGGTTGAATTTAAACAATGTAATTGTAATTGTTTAATTAAACAACAAACAATGTAATTTACAAAACATTTTAAGCCAATGAATGATTCATCCTTCCTTCTTAAAGTTAGTTCAATTTTAAATGGTTTAGACTATAAAAATGATAGAACATTGATGAAACTAGACTTGGTGTATAGCTCTTTATATATTTAAAATTTAAGGTGTGCTGTCTGATGTCAAAGTTATCTACTTTAAAAAGGAAAAGAAAGGATGTATTTATTTCACGGTCATCAGCTATTTAACCATCAGTTCCCCAAAATAAGATAAGAAGTCAAGTACAGTTTACTCTAGTATAATTGTAAGTAAACTAGAAGAAACAACAGATGAATACTGAAATTAAGGACTTAACTATAAAGAAATTGGCTATATAGACAGTAGCTTAACATTAATGCAGGTAAACATGTGCATTTCTGTGCCTATTTAAAATGTAAAAATTACCTTTCCAAGCTTTGCTATATCTCGATACAAAGACAAAGGCAGAGTAAAGGCAACTGTAGCGAGTATAATAATGAAGTGACGGCCAATAAATAAATTTTCAGGATCAACTGAAACACAATAAATATATTTATAGGTATGAATAACACACTAGTGACACAAGTAAATAACCAAACATTTCATTATAAAAATGACTTAAGAATCATTGAATGTTACCTAAATGATGAAGATTTAAATTCCATAAAATCATGTAAAAATGGAAATAATTCACAAAAATGCAAATACAAATACATTCAATAAGTTAAAGGTGAATTCATAGTTTCAAATAATATTATAACATTTTGCATTCAAATTATGTTAATAGTCTCCTAACCAGTTTTCCTGCTTCTGCTTTCCTTTGTCCCCTTACGAACTAGAGAGATCCTTTTCAAAAGCAAAAACATTATGTCATTCCTTGTCCAAAACTGTCAAATGTCAAAACCCTTCATTTAGAAAGTGAGTTGTACAAAGACAGGCATGTTCTAAGGCATTTTTTTTTAAAACTTCTGTATCCCAGGAAGACTTGAAAAGTAAAATATAAAATTTCATAAATGAAGATTTAGATAAAAGTATTCTCTCTATTTTATCCTTTTGTTAAGAAATAAGTTATTTCTCTGAAGGAGAGTAGACAGAAGCAACTTATTGGTTAGAGAGGTCATAAGAAAGCTGCTAAGACTTGGTATACACGACACACACTTGGCTGTTCTTAAAGAGTGAATAAGTGTGTGTGTATGTGTATGTGTGTCATCAAATACAAAGGTTGTAAACATAAAATAAAACACACTTACAAGGATTTATATATTGAAAGCTGTCCTAATCACAGTATTCCCTTCAAGAGCTATGTATCTGTTCCAATGGAGACACCATTGTTTAAATTTTTAGTTCATATTTAAGTCCTTCAGAGATTGTCATTCTATTTTTGAAATGTCCTCAGCAGTATCAAGTCTTTGTGCATTAATTTCTGCAAAGTCTAAAGATTGCAGAAGCTAAGTTTGTCAAATAAAGGAGTGAGTGTGGCTAAAGCAAAGAGCTATTATTCTGAAAAGTGAGACTAATTAACTTACAAGGAAGTTCCAAGAGAGGAATTTCAAAATGGCATGTTATACACACACACACACACACACACACACACACACACACACACACACACACACACACACACACACACAGATACACCAAAATGGAATAATTAATCATGAATATTTGTTTAACTCAGTCATAACAAAACAATCATCACAAAACTGTGACTCAAAACAGTAAAACAGGAAGTTCAAGTTCCAAAAACCTTGAACTATTTACATATTTCCAGTGAATTAAATGATTTGTATATCTGTTTCTTTTTACCTCTTGAAACCGTGTGCTCTACAAATATGTTTGGTAGAAAATATATTTCCTTTACTGGGAAAATTGCAAGTCCTAGAAAAACACTGAACTAGAATCTTGTGAATAGCATGGAGGAGGAGCCTAGTAACAGGCTCTTCATTAACATGAAGGACATTTTTTGTTAATGTTCCGACTAATCGGCTAACAAAAATGCACCTGAATTTTTAAAAATATTTGAACAATAGAACAAAAAATTGAACTGTGAAACTTTTGAAAAATTTCAAAATCATGTAAACATACTACTTATGCCAATATTTCTCATTACTTTGATTTGTGTCAAGAACCATGGATTTGGTTATCTGAGCAAAATAAAAGCCTTTGCCCACTTGCTAGTCTAAGACATTGGTGATGTATTTCAGAGGGAAAAAATACAGCTTTGATAAGGATTTCATCTACTTCCAAAAATACTTCGGCATCATATTATTTTTTATGAAATAAAAAACAAAACATACATTACAAAAATATCACATTCAACAATGACAAAGAAACTATAACAAGAATAAACTGTTTTTTGCTCTGTGACCTACTTTTTAAAAGTTACTTTTGATGATTATAAATTAGCAAACTGGAAAGAGGTTTCAAATAATCCTTTAGCCTTAGCTATGATGCTTTGTTTCTGTGAGTATATATATTCATATTTTATTTGTAAATTTAAAAATCAATAAAAATTAATGATTACAATGTTTCTTTGGGGGAAAATTTAATTAACTGTGGTATAATTTCACTCTACAGTAGATATTATCCAGGACTGAAGTGCAATTCAAGCAAGTAGGATAGATGTCAATGTTTTAATATGAGAGTGTCCCTAATACATTACTGTGAGAAAGCAGCACTAATAGAACAAGATGCATAGTGTTATCTTATTCACGTGAATATCTGAAGTTACATGCATTCTTAAAACTCTGAAAGTATACATGAAAAAGGACAAAAGGAAGGAAGCTGATGGAAAGATTGTCCCTACTTGGTTGTCCCAAGAGAAAGAGATTACGAGTATGCTCTATCTTCTCTATTTTGCTTGTCTGTGTTTTCTAATATTTTCCTAATAAATAAATATGTATTACTTCTCAAACAAGACAATAAAGTGATAAAGAGTTTCTTTTTCTAAATTAATACATGCTCCTTTGACAAACTAAAAAATATCCAAGGAAACAAAAGTCCTATGTATCCCACAATTCAAAGATAACCGCAGTTTACATGTGAATATGTTTTTTCTTATGTCTTCCTTCCTTACTTATGGAAATGGAAACACATAATTTCAATCATATTGCAAACACGGTCTTTTGGTCTCCTTATCTTTCCTTAGCACTATATCTATTTACATGATCCCAGTTTATGAAACATGAATTGGACTTTGGGGCCAGGACAGAAGTTGCAGTTAACAGCTAACAGAGCTGGGGAAGTCTACTATATCTTAGGTACTGTCTGCATTATCACTTTTATTTTCACATGATAATTCTACAAAGGTGATACTCTAATTCATAATTTAGAGCTAAAGAGACTAGAACTCAGAGAGGGCATTAATCTTCTCCAGCAGTGGGTCTGCGATTTGAAGGTCAAGCCTCTCTGACTTCAGTTTCCTCTAATCCCTGTGAAAAGAATAGGTGCAATTTCTAGTTTCATGTTTTGTTTTATTTTGTTTTGCATGTGTCTCTAGAATGAGGGATTCAAGCACTTAGAGGAAAGGTGTTTTTGTGTCGGCTTTAACTATAATAACAACCATAGTGTTAGATCACTATGAAATGGTTTGGATGAGAAGCTCTTCAAGGCAAAAAGCCTCATGATCTTGGAATTATTCCAATAGCCATGACATGGCGAGTCAAACAGGGAATGGGGTTGTGGCACACTTGGAAAGGTCTGCTTGAAATGTCATAGCGGCTTTTTCATAATCGCAAATTAGAAACAACCAATGTCCCTTAACTGGGCAGTAGAGAAGCTGCTGTGCAAAATAAAGGGAGGGAGCAAACTATTGGGAAACCCAAAAATGTAGATGACTCTCAAATGCACTATACCAAGTGAAAGAAGCTGGATTCAAAAGGCTGTGTACGAGGCCGTTTATTTGGCATTCTGGGAAAAGCCCAACTAGGGAAACAAATCAAGTCAGAGGTTTCTAGAGGGAGGGTTTGACTACAACGGGAACAGGGAAAGTTTTGTGGGGGTTGATGGGATTTCTCTGTATTATTATTATAATTATGGCTGTGGTTATGTGACTATTTGCACTTGTCAAAACTCACAGGATTAGCCATTAAAGCGTTAATTTTACTATATGAAATTAAATTTTAATACAAATAAGGGGGGAAAGGTCACTAAGAAATAGTGTCTGCTTAAATAAGTTAAATGCTTATTTAAGAATAGTGCAATAAAAATCATACATGAAAAAATGTTATTACACAGTGTTGGTTATATGTAGTGTAAAATACTTAAATTATAAACGATTCTTGGTTATATGAATATGTGCTTTGACCAGATATATAAGAACTGAACTATACAGAAAAGTAGGTTGATACTTTAGGATAGACTGGATTGTGGATATCGCCAGATATTCAGTCATCTGCCTCCTCCATGTGCAAATATTTCACTCATATATTATTATGAACCACATTAACTCTGAATAATTATATAAAATAAATATATTGATTTACCTCCTGGGATTCTTTGGAAAACTTTGCTCAAAGTATCTCCAGTTATTATGTTGTAACTTATCATAGCTGAAAACATAATTAACAAAATACAGTCACCAACAAACCATTGCAGATTTCATCTTGAATATTTTGAAAGTAATCAGTTATTACTTTGCAAGTATTGACATAATTCTACAACTTTCTAATACAGATTGATTACAAAAATGTACAAGTTAAAAAATAACTAGACAGCAGATTTAAAGGAGGATATCAATTTGTATTACAAAAAGATCTTCACTTTACAAATTGATTCTTTCCAGAATATCTTTAAATAATAGTGAGTTTGGGTGGTCACTTAAAATTCACTTTGTTTTAAAGTTATTAAGTTCAGTTTCCAAGTACTTTTTAAAATTTTATTAAGGTATCATTATCATTGCTATACAGTCTTATGTTGGTTTCAAATACAAAACACCATGGTTCAACAGTTACCTGTATTATCAAATCCTCACCCCCTCTAGTCAGTCGCTATCTATCAATGTAGTAAGATGTTACAAAATCATTAACTGTATTCTCCATCCATGCTGTACCACCATCCCCATGACCAACCTATATTGTGATTGCAAATTATTGTGCCCCTTTGTCCCCTTCTGCATCCGCCTTCATTCTCCCCCACACCTCCCCTATGGTAACCACTAGTCCCTTCTTGGTGTCTGTGCGTCTACTGCTATTTTGTTCCTTCAGTTTTGCTTTGTTGTTATGCTCCACATATAAGTGAAATCATTTGGTACTTGTCTTTCTCCACCTGGCTTATTTCACTGAGCATAAAACCCTCAAGTTGCTGCAAATGGGAGAATATATATATATATATATATACCATATCATCTTCTTTATCTATTCATCTGTGGATGGACTCTTAGGTTGCTTCCATATCTAGTTTCCAAGTACTTTTTCATGAACACATACATGTATTGCTCAAAGTGAAGACACTAAGAGAAAATTGTGAAGGCTCTAAAATATCTCCTCATTAGAAAAACAGTAAGATTTTGGGGAAATATATTCTTAGTCATCTATGGAGATATATTAGGAACTAGAGGTTTGAACAACAGCTTCTGTATTACCAATTTTAAACATGAAGTAAATTTGGCCATTGGTGAATGTTAACATTTTACTTATATAAGCAGCACTAGATGACATTGTCACCATTATAATACAAACTTTAAATAGCATGTTGGCCTTGTACATGGATTCCACAAATCCTTAGGTTTTCAAAAACCCATTTTATCCTTAAATCTATTACTTCTCTCATTTATATTTAATCCCATATTATTCTATTTTTCAGCAAAATAGGAGAGCACAAGCATTAACCTAATGAGAACCAATCTCATTTCAATGCAATACCCAGAAAACCAACCAAAAGGACAGAAAGTAAGGGAAAAATGGTTAAAAATGTGAACAATGTGGAAAATATTTTCAACTGCTAATATTTTTAAATAATTACTACAACTACCTTATTCAAAATGGCTGTATTTTTATGCAAATCATTACAATACTCATTTTTACATTCATCTTACCTATAAAAGGATAAAAAAACTGTAGAACAGAGAGGATGCAGTAGCCTGGAAAGCCGAAGGTTTTATTGACCAAAGACTGGTAAGTATCTGTTCCAGAGAGGGCTGCTCCTTTTATCAATAAAACAAGGGAAAAGTCTGCGGCAAAAAATAACAATTAAGCAGATGTCAGATCATATTTAAAGCAAAGGTTTTCCATGTTTTGACTTAAAGAAAAAGAGTAACTTTAGAGTTTAATTTAAACCTACAGTAAATTAACATAGCAAGGCATATTGTCTTTCCATAAAACATTCTTTCATGAAACAGTACTGTTTCCAGTCTTACGTTTTTCAATCAAAATGGAATATGCTTAACATATCCGTGCAATAAACTGGACAGAGAAGGTATGCAGACTAGTGTGGAAGTGTCAGTTTACCATTTTACTTTCCTGACTTAACCAACGGAACAGATATTAACAGCATGTGGCTCAGTCATTCAAGCAGCAGAATGTAGATAACTACATGCATCATTCAGTGTCTGAAGACTGAGAATGAAAAATGCTCGAATCATTTAGAAAAAAATAGTTCAAGAGAATCAATTTGTTTTATAGCAAAGTACAACTAACTTTATTATATAGTTTTATGGTTAAGAGAACACTAAGAATGTTTTCTTTTTTTGAAATTTACATGTTAGAGATTTAAGTTCCAATAGCAAAGTTGAAAATGAAGATACAGTTACATAGAAATTATATCATTAAAAGTTAGTTTCTCTCTCTCTCTCTTTTCATGTAACTCAATGTGTTTTGAACACGTTGCAGTTGTATGTGGTATACAGCTATGCATAGGGCATGATTCTTGCTTTCTCTTGTCTCTTGTTCATATTTCCATCACTGGTGATTTAGTTCTATCCTTTAAGTAATTTGGAAATGCATTAAAATACATAGAAAAAAATATACATCGTTGCAATATGGCCTCCACCTTGGCTCCCTCCCATGTCACTGAAACATGTTTAAACAAGTTCACCAATGAAAAACGGTGATACATCCGGTTTCACGGGCGGTATCCGGTTGACTAAGCTGATAAATCTGGTTGACACTTCCTAAATCTTAATCTTGCTTGCTTTCTCAGTAGCACTTTTTCTTCCTGTTTACCATTTCCTCTTTGTCAACCATTCTCCTTTGGCCCGTTTGTTACATCACTTTCTCTTGGATTTCCTCTTGCCTTCTTGTCCATTGATATTGTTTTCCTCCATTCAAACCCTGGATTCTTGGACTTTTTCTCACTCTTCAAGATGTCCTACTGTGATCGTATTCATGCCCATGGTTTCAACTTTCACACAGATGTTAGTAACTGCCAAATTTGTATATTCAGCCCAGACTCTTTTAAAATGCTGTATTTCCACATGTAGTTGTCAATAAACATTTTACCTTCGAGGTCTCCTAGGCATTTTAATTTTAAAGGTCCAAATTCTAATTTATATATTTTTCTGTAACCTACTTCTCTATAAGGATTTCTCCAAACTGTGAATCACTCTGGACTTCTCATTATCCATCACCTTCTCTATTTCTTTGGTTGCCAAGTCCATTCACTACTACATCATAAATCATTCAACTGTATCCCCTCATTCCTGATATCTAACCTGCTTTATGTTAGGGATTAGGCTTTGATTATTTTCCACCTGTATTACTGCAAAAATTCCTAATAGTTCTTTCATCCACCGATTTGGCCCCCCATGAAGACACTTTCTGGCTCTCTATCCCCTCTCTGCCAAGACTATTTTGACGCCCCACCTCTACCAGACAGATCTGACCACAGCATAAATCTGATCATGATTTCTGTGTAAAATCCTCCGAGGGAATTCTCTAATGCCTTTTGATAAAAATCAACTCTTTTAAGGAGGAAGAAAAAGATATTTACTAGTTATGTGATCTTGGATGAAGGACTTAATTTTCCTGAGTCTCACCTGTAAAGTAAGGCAATATAACAACCTTGAGGAGTTGTGAGGATTGTGATGCTTAAATGTCTGCCACAATGTCTGACATGTTAATAGAAGCTAAATGAATGAGAATTGGGGCTTTTCTTTGTTATTTTCATAGGCTGTATAGGAAACTATACATGTATAGTATTTTTATATAGTATATACATATAGTATATAGTATATATGTACAGTAAAGTATATTTCCTATATATACATAGGAAAAAGTATCGTATTTAGAGTCCAATAAAAATGATAATAATACTAATGATAGCAACTGCAAGAACACTAGCAAATACTTTCACAACACCTTTCATATCCCAGGCCCTTTTCTAAACACTTTAAGTATATTAAGTTGTTTAATTTTCACAACAACCCTAAGTCGGTGTTATCATCCCCCATTTAAGAGATGAGAAAAGTGAGACGCAGAATGTAAGTCAATTGCCCAAACTTCACACAACTAGTAAGGAAGAGTCGAGACTCAGACCCTGGTAGTCTGGCCCTAGAACCCGCACAAAATCTCAATTCTTTTGCCTGTAGCTGCTAACCTTGGACAAGTAATTTTAACCTATTAAAGTCTTAATTTCTTCCTCCATAAAAGTAGAACATGAAAACCTACTTCATGGATGAGGAGGGGTTAAGTATAGCGGCTGCATCATGCTCAGAATGTAGCCAGTCCTCAGGAAATGGTAATTATTATCATTACATGAAAGGCGTCTGCAACTGTCTAGCTTTGTCTTTCTCTACTTAAAAACATCAACCCTACACTTTAGCTAGACTGAATCACTTCCGCAGCGCCCTTTGGCAGTTTCGCCCTTCCGTCTACTTAGACTGCCCTTCCATTTTCTTTGCTCGGTCACGTTTTCTCATAGACGGTCAGTGGGGTCCTCCTTCCCCACACATGCCTGCTCCTTTGAGGCTGGATTAAATGCCGGTATCCCTATCATCATGCACATGTGTTTATTACGGTGTTTTTCATGAAGTATTATAATTATGTGTTTTTGTCTGCTCGACACACTACATTGTGAACTTCACACAGGCAGGAATAATGTTCTTCACTGCTATAATGCGAGCAGCGTCTGTAAATATTTGTTGCATTAGCCAATGATCAATATAGCAGGAGAGCTAGATGTTTACACATCTGATTCAAATTTAATGTGAGAAGTGAAGTAACAAATATATCTTAAAATATTCTGCAAGCACAAAGGATGCAGCAATTAAGTCTACTTCCTTTGTTTGAGACCAGGAAAAGCTTCACTGAAGAGTTGAGCAGGGCTTTGAAAGATAAAGAGAATTTCACCAGGTAGAAAAGGAAGGTGGGAAACATCCATGGAAAGGTGGTGTGAAAGCACACGGGCATACCTCCTCTTATTGTGTTTCACTCCATTGTGTTTCACAGATTTTGCATTTTTTTTTTACAAATTGAAGGTTTGTGGCAATGCAATGTCAAACAAGTCTATTGGTGTCTTTTTTGCAATAGCATTGCTCCCATGTCACAGCTCGGTAACTCTTACAATATTCCAACTTTATTATTATATTTGTTATGTAATAACAATTTGTTATGTAATAAGAATGTTTGTTATGTAATAATATTTGTTATGTAATAATAATGTGATATGTGGACAGTGATCTTTGATGTGACTGTTTTAACTTTGGGGAGGCACCACGAACCATGCCCATATAAGGTGGCAAACTTAACAGATAAATGTGGTTTGTGTTCTATCTGCCCCAACAGCCGCTGATTCCCATCTCCTTCCCCATCCTCCGTGTTCTCTGAGACACAGCAATATTGAGATTGAGCCAATTAATAACCGTCTGGTAGCCCCTAAGTGTTCAAGTGAAAGGAAGAGCCACAAGTATCCCATTTTAAGTAAAAATCTGGAAGTGATTAAGCTTCCTGAGGAAGGCATGTCGAAAGCCAAAACAGGCCAAAAGCTAGGCTTTCTGTGCCGAACAGTTAGCCAAGTCGTGAATGCAAAGGAAAAATCCTTGAAGTAAATTAAAACTGCTGTGCCAGTGAACACATGAATGATACGGAAGTGAAACACTAATTGTGTGGAGAAAGTCTGAGTGTTCTGGACAGAATATTAAAACAGCCGTAACATCCCCTTAAGCCAAAACCTAATCCAGAGCAAGGCCCTGACTCTCTTCACTTCTATGAAGGCTGAGCGGGGTGAGGAAGCTGCAGAAGAAATCTTGGAAGCTGGATATTGAGCCTTAAGGAAAGAAGCATCTCCGTAACATCAAACTAGAAGGTGGAGCAGCAAGTGCTGATGGAGAAGCTGCAGCGAGTTACCCAGAAGATCCAGCTCAGGTCATTCATGAAGGTGACGACACTAAACAACAGACTTTTTAATGTAGATGAAACAGCCTTCTATTGGAAGAAGATGCCATCTAAGACTGGCATAGCTAGAGAGGGGAAGCCAATGCCCAGCTTCAAAGCTTCAAAAGACGGGCTGGCTCTCTTGTTAGGGGTTCATGCAGCTGGTGACTTTAAGTTGAAGCCAGTGCCCACTGACCATTCTGAAAATGCTGGGCACTGAAGAATTATGCTAAAGCTACTCGGCTTGTGCTCTGCCAGTGGAACAACAAAGCCAGGATGACAGCATGTCTGTTTACAACATGGTTTACTAAATATTTCAAGCTTGTTGTTGAGGCTTATTATTCAGAAAAAAAGATTCCTTTCAAAATATGACTTCTTACTGACGATGTGCCTGGTCACCCAAGAGCTCTGGTGGAGATGGACAGCAAGAATAATGTTGTTCTCATGCCTGCTAATACAACATCCCTTTGGTAGCCCATGGATTAAGGAGTAAATTAGGCTTTCAAACCTTATTATTGAAGAAACACATTTTGTAAGGCTATAGCTGCCATAAATTGTTTCCTCTCATGTATCTGGCTAAAGTAAACTGAAAACCTAGAAAGGATTCACCATTCTAGATGCCATTAAGAACATCAGTGATTCATGGAAAGAGGCTAAAATATCAAAATTAATAGGCATTTGGAAGAAGTTGATTCCAACCCTCATGGATGATTTTGAGGGGTTCAAGACTTCAGTGGGGGAAGTAACTGTAGATGTGGTAGAAACAGCAAAAGAGGCCTGAAGAGACAACTAGATCGCTGCAATCTCATGATAAACTTTCAATGGATGAGGAGTTGCTTCTTATGCACCAGCAAAGAAAGTGGTTTCTTGAGATGAAATCTGCTCCTGGTGAAGATGCTGTGATGATTGTTGAAATGACAACAAAGGATTTAGAACATTACATAAACTAATTTGATAAAGCTCTGCAGGGTTTGAGAAAATTGACTCCAATTTGGAAGGAAGTTCTACTGTGGATAAACTACTATCAAACAGCATCTCATGCTACAGAGAAATCACTCATGAGAGAAAGAGTCAATGGTTGTGGTAAACTTCACTGTTGTCTTATTTTAAGAAACTGCCCAGGTGGAGAAAGACACATAACATATGATGTTACTTATTTGTGGAATATAAAACCAAAGCAAAATAGATTGAAGAAAACAGCAGTAGACTCATAGACACTGAGAAGTGACTAATGGTTACAATGTGGAGATGGTGAGGGGAATAAAGAGGCACACAAATTCTCAGTCATAATATAAGTTGGTCACAGGACTAGTAGTACAGCATGGAGAATATAGTCAGTGATTCTGTAACATCTTTCTATGTGACAGATATTAACTGCAGTAGAGGGGGTGAGGATTTAATAAGATGGATCACTGTTGAACCACTCTGTTGTATATTTGAAATGAATGTAAGATTGTATATCAATGATACTCCAAAAAAAGTATCTGACAGGTTATCTTGTAAAACTTAAAAAGCAAAAAAATTGCCACAGGTACCCCAGCCTTCAGCAGCCACCACAGTAGCTGTAAATATTGAGTCAAGACCTTCCACCAGCAAAAAGATTAAGACTCACTGAAAACTTAAACAATGGCTAGCATTTTTTAGCAAAAAATTATTTTTTAATTAAGATATACACATTTTTTTCATGCACAATACTACTGCACATTTAATAGACTACCTATTGTATAATCAAACTTTTATATGCCCAGAGAAATAAAAAAATTCATTTGACTTACTTTATTGCAATATTAATTTTATTGCAGTGGCCTTGAACTGAGCCCACAATGTCTCTGAAGTATGACTGTATTCTACAGGTGGGGAATAGAATACTCCAGAATGACCGAAACATAAGTTCCATACCTGGCAGTGTTGGTGACAGAGTGAAAGAGAAGTTAGATTAGTGGGAGATGAGCTGAAACATGCAGATATGAAGGAATTTGGATGCAGTAGTTTTTTCTGTTGCCATTATAGTCTTGGAATGTTTTGATGGAGAGAGTATAGAGATCAGGCCCAGGTTTTATGAAGATGACTCTTGCAGCAATTTGGAGAGCTGATCAGAAAATGGACAGATGTGAAAGACAGGAAAAGTGAACAGCAACTTGTTGGTCAATGGACAGAATCAGTGAGGACTTGAGGCAATCAGTTTCATAGATGTGAACTTTTGGAGAAGAACTATATGCTTGGAATGAGAATGCTAAGTTCTATAAAAATTCAAATGTATTGCATAAATTTACTAGTTCGCTAAGAATTTAGCCAATAACAAGTGCTTTCATCTACTTGTAAAACACAGGCTATACATCTCTCTTAAAAGTTTTAGGAATCTCATCCATCACTGTAGCCATTTTCATCTCACTTTAAATATACTTCATGCAAGTTTTAAGTAATGAGTCTATGTTATTCAACAGGAAATTTTTCTTTTAAATCATTTTGTAAGCTTGGACAATAAAGATTAGTTTACTCTTACCAACAAATGCGAACATCTTAAAGAAAATGAAAATAAAACTATTTGTCATAAATACTTATAATTTTTTCTTGTTTGCCAACATTTCAAAAACATGAAAACAGAACATGAAAACAGAAAAAACTCCCTGTTGAACTGGACATATCTCATTAGAGGCCTTAAAAAGACAGAAGAATAAATATGGGCACAAACCATTGGGTAACTGTCAGTGTCAACTTCAAGAAAAATTCAGTAGTATATCCTACTTGTACAGTTTGCTGTTAAAAGCCCAATCAAGATACAAAATGAATCACAGTCTATAAATATTTATTGCTTCTGTGTAGCCATCCTTTATCAAAATTTTTAAGGATTTTGATCATGCAGCTAATTTAATAAAAGTACTAATTTGCACTCATCAGTAACTCTGCAATATATGACTTGGCAAAGGACTGCTCACAGTCATTGCTCGAGGATACTGTATGGCATCAGGTGAGAAAGTTATTCACATTATGATTTATTTATGTAGAATATCATTTGGCTTTAGTAAGCTGTTCATTCTCTTCAAGTACTGAATTCTGAGGTGATATATATATGTTAATTTTTCTATCTACTGGTTTACAATATGTGTAAATGTTTACAGTGTGCTTAAACCAGCTATGGTTATGGTTATTAGCCATGGGTAGAAATTAATTATTGATCAGTAGTGATTGACTGGGAAACAGGAAATTAAAAATGACAAAATCCTTGAATGGGATTTTTTAGTATGATAATTGCTCTCATGAATGCAATGTTTAAACACCAGCAACTCTGGATAAGGCTAAGTTACGGGTCCCACAGGTACTAAGTTACAGGTCTCTAAGAGCTATAGCAGCTCAAAGCAGTTTAGGATTTGGGAGTGGGGTGCTGAGGAAAAAGGAGGGGGGAAGGGAGTCCAGGGCCCCTGCAGCTTTGTTTCTGGTATTGGCTGTGTAATTGACTCTCCTCCTCGGCCTGGGCGAACCAGAGCAGAGTTGCAGGCTGGTCTTTTTATGAGGGATCGTGTCTTGGTCAGGGTCTCTGGAGGCAGAGCTGAGACCGAGATTCCTGGGCAAGGGGATCTGAGTGAGTATTTTCAGGAGAAGGGGGGATGAGAGGACCGGGAAAGAGCTCAGCGCGGATGTGGCCTTGGGTGGAGCCCAGCGGTGGCCTCCCCCTGCAGTGGTGCCACTCGAGTTCCAACCACACAACACACTGGAGGCAAGGAGACCGTCTTCTGGGTTTCTGCCAGACAGTCACTGGCTGAAGGCTGTGGGGGAAAGGTAACTGGGGGTCATGACCTCACAGGAAGTGTCACCTTGGTGGCCCAGGTCAACGCTCTGGAGAAGAGGAAGCCAAGGTATCTTGCATTACCTGGTGAAAGGGCATCTAGGTGACCGCCCATAGTGGCCACCATAGCTGGGCCCCCTGCAGGGGGTGACTGTGACTGCCGCCTCTTTCCCAGTGATCCTAAGCTAGGGGAAAGGTACTGGATGTGTCCTGAGGTGGCCTGACAGGGCAGGGATGAATGAGGACAGCAAGAAGAGGGGACGATTCTGAGTTGTAAAGCCGGCACTTAGATGGGGGAGTGGCAGGACATGGGTGTGAATGAAAATGTTACATGAAAAGGGGGAAGCAGAATAGAACAGACACACAAGCACCTTAACGTTGTGCTTTAAGGCTGTGGCAGGCTGGGTGCTGGGGCTGGCATGGGGAAGTAGGGAGCAGGTTGTGAACCCTCCCTGCTTGGGCAGCAGGCTTTTAGTTCCACCTGCACAAACATGGTTGGAAACGGTTGCTCATTCATATGCACCTGCCCATGGCTTTTGTGGGAAAGGAAGCCCTCACATCTACACGTTCAGAACACACTCCCTCTTAATCAGCCTTTAAAATGACTCCCCCATCTACCACTTTCTGCATACAGTGAAAAAGGCACGTGAAAAGGATCTAGGCTTGGAAGTATAGAATGCTTCTCTAATCTGTTCAGAGGATTAGCACGAAAAGTAAATTTCCTCAGACACAAATGTCTAAATTCTTTAGGATTCTCTGATTAACTTTTTAATAGGAAATTCAATTATAGGGTATGTGTGTGCAAAATAGGTACTGCACAATTTAAGTTGCAGGAATAAGCAATTATATAGCATTTTACCTGTAACGTATGAAACCCAGCATAGAAGCAGTATTCCCAGAGGAAAGCCAGCTTGCTTCATCGAATACGGCAATCCTGAAAACACATCAAATGTCCCACCTGTCGTATTAACAAAACACATAGAAATACAGAAGTGTTCCCCCAATCCTTACATATAAGCTAAGTAAATTAACATATTTTATGACACAATCGTAAACTGCATGTATCACTACTGAAATGAAATGTTAGCATATTAGTAGTTACTTCAGGATAAAATGTTGTAAGCGAAGGATGTGTCCAGAGGGTGACTTTATGAGGTGTTGGAATAAGAAAACAGTAAATGAAAAATAGATGCCAATTTACATAAATAATGTTCACATCGGGGTGAAGGGGAATATGACCTGGAGCTTGGGGTGAGGAAGGACACAATGCTTTCTTTATGTGGCAGCTGAGAAAGCAGTGGATGATAAGATCACAGAAGGGTAATGGGATTTGAGGAAAGACTGACTCTGCAGTCAAAATCTGGGCACCCGGGTAGCAAAAGGAGAGAAAAATGAGGGGGCAAAAGTATTTCTTATAAAGCTGAAGGGCGTGTGTAAAATTATTTCTTAATGATTTCTTTGGAAATGAGCAATTTTAGATTATGGACAATAAAAATTTAGAAAGAAACCATATTTAAAATGTTTCCACCCAAAATTTTTATTCTATGAAAATGTTTCCTTAAAAACAAATTGGCCGAGTGTGATTAAGAGGTGCTTTTCAGTGTTGCTGACATAAGTCGGTTTAGAGAGCTCACATCAGCGGTTCACTCTGGGATTTTGCCAAGCTGACTGCCCACATCTCTGTGGCACATGGAAGCTGATGCCCCTGCTTGGTGCTACTTCGCCTCAGATACCTCCATTTTATGTACCATTTGAAAAAAATATATATCTATGGAAACTAGTAAAATCAAGAAACACATCAACTTGTGAAAGGTAAGAAAAGTAACTCAATCCTGAGTAAAGTTCATTGATGACTGGGGCTAAGATGTCAAAACTTTGTAAGAAAAAGTAATTCTCTTAATGAGTATTGCAGGACTTTGTTTTGGCTGCTTTTCTTAAACTGGATGTTTCTAAATAACAAAAAGAATGAGTACTGAAAACATAACTGCTTTCATTACTATAATGCTATACATTTAATGTCATCAGAACTTCCCTTTTGCTTCTAATTGGGAAAATGCCAGCTGTTCTTTCAGTTCTGATTATTTGGCTCCTTTGTTTACAAAAGTAACATGCATTTTCATTATACCAATATCTATTTATGGACTAATAGTTAAAATTAATAGAATCAGCTTTACTTTAAAGTTAACACTATATAGATGGCTAAGGAAATATCAGATGGATTTAATTTTTCACAAGATGGTTATGTTTTCACCTTAAACTTCCATACCTCCAATACTTCCAAATATTTGGAGGTTTTATATCTCTGGAAGGCCACAGAAAGGTGAGCAAGTAATGGTGGGCGCTTCAGGAAGAAGGAAAAAACTAAATAAGGTAACAGGATCAATTGACCAGGAAGCCAATGGAAAAAAAAAATCATGTCCTGTATACCTTCCACTTAATCTTCCACAGGCAGGGGAGGCACGAGAGTCTACACCTTTCTTCCACTTAGGGAGTGTACCCGCTCCTCAGCGTAAAAGAAACTGATGTGAAGCACATTGTTACATTGGGAAAAAAGGAAATTACTAATTTTATTTCAGATTTTTTTCCCTTTAAAAGTAACCAATGAACGTTAGCTAGCAATATAATGATCGTCTTCAATTTGGCCTTTTCATTTAAAATTTAAAACAAAAGAACACTTACCTATTATACCAGACCCTATAATCGAGTTGACAACATTAAAAACGGCGGCAGACAGACGCCAGGTTTTCCCTCCGCGCCTCTGTTCAGAAACGAGGGTTTCTTTGTCATCTAGATCACTCTGTTTTTAATATATAAAGCGGCAATTCAATACTTAATAGCTCAGCAAATTAGAAAAGTGTCCGAGAAATACACAGTGTAGGAGACTAACACGATGTCAGTAGTAATAAGTAATGTCAATAATGATAAGGGTAATAATAAAGAGAAAAAAGGGCTAGTAGTTCAACAGAGGTCTGTAAACAAGCTCCATCCTAAACTGTTCTGACACCTGCGCGAGGTCCGCCGCCTGCGTGAACTCCCAGAGCACAGGGTCCGCCAGGGAGCTAATGATGTGACCGGGAAACGAAAGGGGTTACGTTGCAAAGCACCTGCCAAGGGAAAAGAAAAGCCAGATGGAAACAACTTCTCTCGGAGGACTAACTTCCCACGGTGCTCAACCCGAAGCCCAGGTGGAGGCGGCCGACGTCCGCTGCAGAGTGAATGAAGCTTAAAGGGGGCTCGCTTCAGGCCTCGCCCCTGAGCCCGGGTTTACCTGCGGCGGGATGGCAGGTCGCTGCCCCTGGTAGCCCATGGCTGCACGGAGCCCTCCTCGGCAGGTGGACTGTTCTCGGCCCGGGCACCCGCCGCAGCGAGCAGCCTCCTCCGCGACCTCGCCCGGCCCCTCGGGTGCAGCCCCCAGCTCGCTGGGCCTCCCCCGCGGAGCCTGCCCGGCCGAATGCACCTCCTTCCTCCCGCGGAGAGGATGCAGAATGTTTCTGATCTGGGCAGCCCTCTCTCCCCCAGCCCCGCCTTTTATTACCCCACCTCACCCCACCTCCAGCTGCAGAGTACAGCTTGTTCTGCCCACGCTGCCCAGTTGGTACAGAGTCCCGATGGCCTCTTTCAGTCCATTCCCAAGTTAGGGGCTCCGACTGGAGTCTGCTGCCCAGTAAGAACTTCCTAGCACGAAAAAATTTTTCTAGAGTTCCAGCAAACTTGATGACCGAGCATACTTTATGCAAATGTTTTCTGTGGACGTTTCAGAAAGGAGACTGAAGGAAAGAAGATGGATTGATAACGGATTCAGGTAATGAAGCTCACAAGAGGGTGGGGGTGGGGTGTAAGGAGATGGGAAGGGAAGGCACCCGAGTATCAGCTAGAGAGAATCTTCAATGACCATATTACAGATGAGGAAACAGGCCCAGAGAATATTCAATCACAAAAAGAATACAGAGGAACAGTTTCAGGAATAATGTAACATCAGTACTTATCAAATACTTAATTAAAGAGGTTCTTTTTCACAGACATTTGTTTGAAATTATGCATCTCACCTATCTCACAGTTCAATTATCACACTTAGACGTTAAGATTGTTTCTAATTTTACAGTCTTCTGGAGAATATTAAGTGACAGTTTCTCTAGAAGAATAGTTAGGAAGCAGCTCATGCCTATTTCCAACTTCACTAAATCTTTCCAAATTGCTCTACAAATCGATCATACCAACTACACTTCTACCAGCAGATGTGGAATTCCTGTTTTGTGCATTGTTAACAATACCAGGACTTAGTTTGTTTTTAGTTTTTGTTGCTCTGATGGCTTTGAAAATGGTATATAATTATTGTATAAATTTGTATTATCATAATTCGTAGTGAGGTTGAGGATCTTCTTATGATATGTAATGAATATAGTTAAATTTTTAGGTTGCCCTCTTTATGAATTTCATTTTATATCCTTTGCCCTTTTAATTTGGGTTGTTAGTCTTTTCTTTATTGATTTGTAACAGTTATTTATATATTTAGGGTGCCAACACTAGGTCAGTTATGTATTTTGCACATATCTTCTCCCAGCCCCATTGTTTTAAAACTATTTGTGGCTTTTTTTAATCATGCAAAGTTTATAATTTTGATATACTAAAATTAACAGTCTTAACCTTGATACATTAAAAGAAAGAAAATTAGAGCCCTACTTCACTAAAAAATAGATTTAAACATACTTAAATAAAATACTAGCTAATTGAATCCAACAGTTAAAAAGTTAACTGTATCATGACCAGTTGAGTATACATCAAATATGAAAGGATAGTTTAACTAAAAAAATCTATATGTATATATGTACATGACTTCCCACATTGATAGATTATAAGAGAAAACTGTGTAATTATATTACTGTATACAGAAAAAAAATTGACAATGTTGGATTCATGACTGAAAAAGCTCTTTGTAAATGAGAAATAGAAGACAACTTCCTTGAACTGATAAGCTACAGTAGATGTCATTATTAATGGTGAAATTTTAGAAGCATTTCCATTTAATTAAGAAATGAAATAAAAATGCCCATGATCATGACTTTTATTTAACATGAAGTTGGAGTCCCTAGCCTAAAATCCCTCTCAATAAGAAAGGAAAAAGAAATTAGGGGTAATGAGAAGTGGGAAGGTAGAAATGAAACTGTCATTATAAGATTACATATGTAGAAAAATTTTAAATAATTTAAGGAAAAATATTAGAAGTAATAAGTAAGAAAGTCTAAGGAACTAACTAAATACAAGATTTTCCTGAAAACATATTAATTTTTCTATAGCAATGACAAATAGCTAGAAATTCTCCCATGCAGAGGTAAATACGGTAAACATTCTATAACCCTACAGTTTACTTGGATTTATTGTTTGATGTGGAGGATAAGCACATATTCACTTTCACATAAACAGTTTTACTGTGTCTTGTCTTAGCCCCAGACAAAGACCATGAGAGCCAGACTTTTAGGCATGCAGAAAGCCTTGATTTGAGCTTTTTATCAGATTGTATAAATATGTAGATATATACTATGCTTATGTAGGATTATTATTTTTCCTCTATACTTGGTTGCAGTCCAGATGAGATGACCTCTCAGAGCACCTAGCTGGTTTAGAAATATTCAGAGAAAGCTCTGTCTCATCAGAAGTCTGAAATTGCAAAGCTCTTCCCCACAGCTAACCTGACCCCTTTCTGATATTGTTAAGGTCCAAGTTTGGGTTAGACTAGAGACAATAACTTTTAATCCACATCCCTGGCGAAGTTACTTTTTTCTCTTGAAAAGGAGTCTGGAAGAGGGGTAATTTTGTTTTTTGTAAAAATGTGTGTTTGATATTCTTCACATTATTAGGTTATTGGCTTAGTTGCTGTAATAAGTAGAGACATTATATGCAAAGTCTCAAACAAAGTAAACCTTTCTTTATCTTTTAACCTTCCAGAAGTGGGGGGCCTCAGTCTTAAGAGCTCTGGAAGGACAGCTCAGACACTTTCAACTAAATCATCAAAATGTACTATTTCTTTTTATGGATTAATCATCATACAAAATTATTCTTGGAACTATATTCTATGATCTACATACTGCTCATTGTCAAGGAATATCTCCTTCTTGTGGTACTATGTCATTATTATTGCATAGCATTTTTGATGTTTCTAACTGTTATTATTAGAATTATGTAAAGGCACTGTAATGTCATTTCTGGTTAGGAGTCAGGGCGAGAGGGACACTGAGGAATTAGTTAAAATTACTGTGGCTGTAAGCACTGGTTTGCCCAAGAAAGGCTTGGTTTAGGCTTCTTGTGTAATTATGAATAGCATCTTTTTCATTTTCAAAAGTTTCCCAGTTTGGATGATACCTTACAAAATCATGTTACAAAGGTACTTGGAGGATAATAATACCACCATCTGCATAGCACTTCATGGTTTTCTCTAGCGGCATCCAAGTTGAGATGGGATGGAAGAGCTAAAAAGTGTGGACTTTTTGTTTATTCTCCAGTTAGTATGCTGGGTTAGTTTAGGCTCTGGAATCAGAAAAAACCTACATTTGAGTAAAAGCTCAAGGGACCTTGGCAAGTTGCTTAACTTTTTGAGCCTTCATTTTGTCATTTGTCAAAAGGAAAGAATAACAGTACCTCTTTCAAAACAGTAGTTGTGGGAATTAAATGGGACAATCTATTTGTATTAGTTTCCCATGGCTGCTGTAACAAAGCACCTTGAACTGGGTGATGTAAAACAACAGAAATTTATTCTCACAGTTCTGTGGGCTAGAAGTCTGAAATCAAGGGGTCAACAGGGCCATGCTCCTTCTATAACCTCTTGGGGAGACTCCTTCTTGCTTCTTCCTAGCCTCTGGGGGTCTGCCAGCAATCTCTGATGTTCACTGGCTTGTAGATGCGTCACCCCACTATTGCATCTTCCCTTGGCACACTCTCTGTGGCACTGTCTCTTCGCATCCTCTTCCCTTTGTGCATGAACGTCTGTGTCTGTGTCACAGTTCCCCCCTTTCCTAGGGGACACCAGTCATAGTGGATTAGGGCCCACCCTAAGGACCTCACCGTAACTGAACCATACCTGCAAAGACCCGATTTCCAAATAAACTCATAGTTGGAGTTTCTGGGGGTTAAGATTTCAACATATCTTATTTGGGGGACACATTGAACCTATAACACTATTTTAAAAGGATTTTGTTGTTTGCTGTATAATTTACTCTCAATAAACCGACCCAGCAAACCTTCAGCTCTGAGTCTGGCTTGAGTGGACTCTTAGTTTCTTCTGCTCTTCTGCTCTGCTTAGTTGCTTCCGCTCTATCAAACCAGAAAATTACTTTGTTAGGCCAAAACTGTATGCTGTAGAGGGAGTTTTGGTTACAGTAGCAGCAAGTGCTATTGGCTACACACAGCTGTTCTCCCTTCTTTCACCGTAATAGAGCCTCTGATTTTTGTGCCTGCCAAGCCCACCTACTAGGAGAAATAAAGTTTGCGTCTTCACTTTCAGCTGGTTGTGGCTAAGTTCTACGTGGATGCAGGTGGAATGTATATCCTTGAGGAGAAGACTAATACCTTATTTCTCTTCTGCTCCTTCCTGTTGGCTGGAGAGTAGGGGCAGAGTGGCTGAAGACAGAGCTCTATCCTGGCCCAGTCACCTGTTGGAAACTTCATACTGAAGATGTAACAAGATAGAAGGATCCCTGATGGATCAGCCAGTCTGGAGTGTTCAGGTAATGTGAGAAGGAAAGAACTTCCATCTTATTTAAACAACTGTTATTCGGATTTTTCCATCATTTAGACACAAATCTAACCCTTGTTAACACACCTCGTCTAGGTACTAGGATCGTGGTATTAGTCAAATAGGATTCCTCCAATCCAGATATTTCTATGTAATAGCACCTAGAGAGGTTCTTTCACTTCCTTGTGCAAATAATATGAGAGCTTATTGTCTATAATTTACTTAGGTATCAATAAATATATACAGGTGATTATCACATACATATGCAACAAACTGTAAATCACCTGATATTTTAGTTTTGCCTCACTGATGAACTGGTAAGAAACCTAGGCTAGTAGGGTCAGGGGAATACTCTCTCTGTCAGTATGATGTGGGTCCCCTTCTGCGTGTCCCACGTCGGCCTGTCCTTAGGAGTCTGGTCAGCACTGTTTGTCCATGTCTGGCTTCGGAAGCCGCATCACGTATCACAGCAAAGTGTCAGTCTTTGAGCATTACCCTGAGGACTGAGGACCAACCCAGCAAACCTTCAGCTCTGAGTCTGGCTTGAGTGGACTCTTAGTTTCTTCTGCTCTACTGCCCGTCTTCTCTGCATGTGTGATAGAGAATGCGATGTTAAGTCTTCATGGAGAAAAGTCTTTCTCCTGGAAATACAAACCTAAATTTGACTCTTCATGTTTTGCAATTTACAATATTTACTTTGTAAGATCAGAACCATTTCCCAAGCTCCGGAAGATGGAGGGGAGCGGCAGTTACAAGCTCA